CTCATCTCTGACCCGCATCTCAAATTTGAACTTGGGCCTGAGGTTCAGGGATGGGGTGGAGGAGGCAGGAATGGTATGTGGGGAATGTCTGAAGTTGGGTAAATTATTTTGTAATTTAAAAGGCTATCTGGCGGTTTGTGCTTTTTGGCCAGGAAATAGGCGTGAATGTCAAAATGGTCATAGCATCCAAATGGCCATGTCCAGAAGGGCATGACAAAGCCTTGGGGGCTCCCACCCTCTAGTTTATCCTTTTGTACTCACCACCCTGTCAGGGCATTTGGGGTCAGCTCCTCTTCATCTGTCCTTTTAGTGCTTTTGAGGCCCCTTCCATTTGTTTTTTTTTTTTTTAAAGATTTTATTTATTTATTTGACAGAGAGAGACAGTGAGAGAGGGAACACAAGCAGGGGGAGTGGGAGAGGGAGAAGCAGGCTTCCCAAGGAGCAGGGAGCCCGATGCGGGGCTCGATCCCAGGAGCCTGGGATCATGACCCGAGCCGAAGGCAGACGCTTAACCAACTGAGCCACCCAGGCGCCCTGTGGCCCCTTCCTTTTGGAACTGGGTCTGAAGCCAGCTAGGAATTAGGTTTTAGGATCCTCAGGGTTGTGTATACAGGGAAGCAGGGCTGGGGGTGAAGGTGGTACAGTTTCTTTGGGGCCCACTCAATGGATGCAGCCATGATGGGAACAAAGGTGTTGCGGGCAGGGTGGAGAGGAAGCGGAGATGCTCCACCTGGATCTGCTCCAGGACTCAGGAACTGTTCCCCAGCTGGTGGGAGCACCCTCAGCAATCGGCCCTTTGGGGGTGGCTTCTACTGCAGAGAGCGGGCTGGTCTAGGACTGACTGATGGAGGGGTATGAAACCTGGTCTTCTGGCCCCAAATCATGGACAGCTCCGGAAGGTCACCTTCAGAATTCCCCTTGGGGTTGGCTGAAATTTCTGTTGCGACAATATGGCGGCTCAGGCTTTCCCTCCCATCAGGTGGACTGTTTCCCCTTCCCCCTCTCCCCTTCCCAAGACCACTACCCCATCAATCTCTACTCCCTGTCTCAGGGTGGGCTTCCTGGGGGCACCTGGCTGGCCATAGCAGGCAGAGGTGGGAGAAATTCCAAGCAAATCAAACGAGAGACCACAGCCCAGGAAGTCAACTCCACTTTTTAATATTTTAACCATAATGCAAACAGGCATAAGTAGACTTTTGTTGAATTCCATCAAGTTAGAAGATGAGGACAATGCAGAAGGAGAGCATGCAGTGAACACAGCTTGGACAACCTCGCGAGGAGCGTGGGGCGGGCGTCAGTCCTTGGAGGAAGGTGCCGGAGCGCACGGGACACTGGGCGGACATTAGCAGCATCGAGAGCTCAGAGGTAGGGGGACGTCTGAGTTTCTGACTGTGTGTGTATGTGTGGTGACATGTGACACCCACCTCTGCCCACCTCCCCAGCTCCTCAACCCCGAATGGAAACGCACTGGTACAGCAAGGAGGAGACGGCCAACTGCATTCTCTCTCTCTCTCTCTGCCTTCCAGGAAACCACTGCTGAGCCTGGAGTGGGTCCTGCGATCACAAGACAGCACAACACAAGGAAGACAGGGCAGAGGCAGGGTGCACGGCATCGGGCCTCGGTGGGTAGTAATCAGAGTGATGCCAAGGGCACAGCATCTTATCAAAATGGAACTGTAGTCCTTTCTGTCTTGGGAGGGAATTTGTGAAACCACTTTATCATCATCCCCCCGCCCCAAATCCTTTGAGTCTCAGATAATGGAAACAAAGCCATCGGCTGAGTACTGCTCTGCTGATTCCAGAAGGACCGTGATTGAAGGGCCTGGAGCAGCCAGGAGATATTCTTTTGCCCTCAGGGGACATCTGGCAATATCCGATGTCACATTTGGTGGGGGTGGGGTGGGGAGGGACGGCTACTGCTTCTGGTGGGTGGAGGCCACCTGCCTACGATGTCTGGGACAGCCTCCACCAGGAAGAATTCTCCAGCTCCAAATGCCAGCAGTGCTAAGTCGGCTGACCCTGGACCAGTGTCAAGTCTGGGCACTTGGATGTCCTGGAGTCATTTTCTAGAAGACTATGGAAAGCTGCATCTCAAGGCAGGTTTGCTCTTGCCTGCCAGGGCCACCTCGTTAAGAACGGTCTCTGTCCTGACCGGACGGACACAACTTACTTGTTCAGAACTGTTCAGGTCTTCCAGGACAGAACAAAATCATAAACAAAGGTGTATTTACCCCAGACCTCCTCCCTTGCATGATTGCACGTGGCTCTGACAAGTAGTAACAGAGAATAGACTCAAGACCCATGTTCCAAGGGTGAGAGTTTACCTAGGTCCTCATGCAGGTCTGAGACTCATCAGTGTTTGGGGAGAGGCAGCTTTTGCCACCAGGTGGGGACCGGTGGTGGATCGAGGACAGAGTGCATATGACAGAAAGAGGAGAGACCAGGCTGGTGTCAGCCCCAAAAGGTCAGATTCAGGTTCATGGTGACCATCTGTGTTGAGTTCGGGGGGGGTGGGGGCAGTGACTCTCAGATCCACCTTCCCCCATCCCAGCCCCTGGCTTTTAATTCTTGAGTCAAACAGGACATTTAGATGCAGGAAACTTGACAAGGGTTGGGAGACGTCAAGGAGTATGGACAAGTCATATAGGATACCCAGATGAATATTTTTTTCTCCTTGTCACCTGCAGGAAGTCTCAGATTAACTTGCCAATTCAGACAGAAGGCTTTGGGGGTAAGGTGGGCATGGTGACATGCTGGAGATCAGGGCAGTGGAGATGCAAATATACAAGTTAACGGTTGGCTTCACACAAAATCTTAACCCCATAGTTTTCCCGATGGCATGAATGGCCAGCGCTTGAGGGGTGAATGGGCCCAGACATCTGGCTTGCACATCCTGGCAGAGGGACTGTTGGTTTGCCTGCCATCTGGGTCAGAAAAATCTCACTTGTTTTGGACTTAGGGCAAAACCTGACCTCCTTTTGGAAGTCCAAAGCAGGTGGCTGCTGAGAATGTGCTTGGCAAGAAAATCCTATGTTCTAAGGCCAATGTCTAATTGGCCCGGGGTCGGTTTTCTTTCCTTGCATCTAGGCCTGGCTGGACCTTGGAAGGATGCACCCTGCTGGCTGGGGGAGAAGCTGGCTATCATGTCAGCAACTGCAAACTCATCTTTCCCTCGAGGCTGTTTTTTTTCTCATGAGACTCCTTTCTCAGCCTAAAGGTAAGACTCTTAACTTTCTCATCTGTTCTTCTCCCCAACAGATAGGTCTCCAGGTCCTACTGATTTAACCCCTGGAGTGGCTTTATCATTACACCTGCCTCTTCCCTCATTCCAGCCTTGGTTATTGCAACATTCTACGGCCGGTTCAACGGACCAGCTGTCCATACTCTGCGCTACAGCCAGAACATTCTTTTCTAAGCACAACTCCAATGACCTTATTTTTCCCATGTGAAAAATGTTCCTAGGAATACCCTGCTGCCTGCCAAATAATCTAAATTCCTTGACATGCGCTCACCTGTCCCAAAGAGCTGGTCCCTGCTCACCTTCCCAGCATCTGGCTCATCACCTTCAAGCCTTCCAAAACTGCGCCTGAAGCCAGCCCCCATTTACTGCAACATGCTCCTGTCTGTGCCTTTCCTCCCTCTCTTCCTACTTCCTGGAAATCTTATCTCCTCAGACCTGCAGGTGGAATCCACCCATTTCTCAAACCTCAGACATTTATGTCGATTCTAATTGTGTGTCTACATATGAGATCTCACTGTCTACAAACAGAAACTGTTCTTTGCTTCGTACTCTCCACTGTGCCTTCCGCATACAGGTATTGGTGAAGTGGAAAAGTAAAATTTGAAAGCTTCAATGGGCCAGGGAGTATAACTGGCTATTTTATGGGCATTATCTCATTTAGCCCCCTTTGCTATATAAGTGGACATGTAGACTCGGAAAGGTCAGAGTTAGCATCTGGACTCAGGGCTGCTTCCAAAGACTCCATTTTGGTGGGTCTGAAGCATTTCCCTGAACGGAAGGATACCTGGCTGCCTCACTCCGTAGAAACCAAGTGGGAAAATACTCCTCCGCTCAGGGAGTTAAATTACCTCTGCTCCTTTCCTAACACAAGGTGCTGGCTTTGGATTCATAGTGACGAATGGGGGGCATGACCATGTCAGCTCTCCTGCAGAGGGGGATGTGTCCTTCCTCCTGGCCAAACTCACTTTTGTTAAATTGAGTTGGAGCCACTGCAGGCCAGTTCAAGGGGGAGAGGGACAGAAAGGTCTGTAATCTAGGTAACCCCCAAATGCCCAATCAATCCTATTTTCCTGCTCACTTATTGTGGAGCCAAATTTTGCGCCTAGATTTGGCTACTGGGACTGAAATTAAAACCACAAGAGGGCAGCATTTACCCACCCTGGATCAGAGCTAAACCCTAAACCAGGGACTCCACACTCTGCCTCTTGACAGGCTCCTTATATAAAGGGAGGCTTTTCGTAACAGGGGTTCTGGCAAATGAGAGAAATACATTGGACCAGTCTCCGGTCTTCTAGCGGGGAGTCCTGAAGCAGCTTGCGTTGGGTGTTGAAAGGTGTTTCCTTTAAAAACAAAAATCCTTCTTGGGAAGAAAGATGCATCCCGAGTCTATAATCACTGCTTTGGACTCCCTGATACATCAGCAAGCCTGCTACTGGAGGGGCAGGGGTGCATGAAGGAGGTGCCCAGCACACAGGAAGTGCACACAAGCACGTATTCGGGGGTGGAAAAGCACTCACACGCAGAGCTTGGTCTGGAGAGGAAAGCGCCGATGAGTTCCTCCTTGGATGAGGTCGGACAGTACAATTCAGGGTCTGGGGAGCAGGGATGTCTTAGCAAGTATCTCCAAAGGGCTCAAAGGGTTGAAAGAAAGCCCCTGGGGGGAAAGCTGCTAGGAGCCAGAACTGTGTATACAATGGGCCTCTGGAGCTCCAGGTTGGACAGGGTGGGGATGGGGGGCTGAGGGGAGGGGTGGGGGGTGGGGAAGGGGGTAGCCCGCCAAGGGCTTGTGCTTGGTCTCCTTGCTGTGGAAGCCCCAGCCAAAGGACACAGGATTAAAGGAAGGTGGGGAGGTGGTAACTGGAGGCAGCCCAGCTCTGCACTCAGGGGAGATGGGACCCCAGAGGAGGGGGGCTGCCGTGGAGGGTGGAGAAAAGTGAGGTCCAGTTTGCCTTTTGCCTTTAAGAATCCCCTTCCTGGGGACACCTCTTTGGCACCCCGTGAACTAAGGCCCTCCCAGAGAGGGCCAGGGTACTTTCTCTTTGGCAGCCCCCCAAACGGAGCATCAAGAAATACCCATTGTGCCGTACAGAAAGGTGATGCTTTCTCTCTGGATGACAAAGCATAACACAACAAAACAGAAGAACCCACTTGCAGAAGTCTTCCCCTCCAACCTGGGTGGGGGGGCCCAGGGCAGGCCCCTCTAGCAATTTCTTGGCTCTCTCCAGGCCTGCCCCTGATTTTGAGCACTTCTGGGGAGAGGGGGGCCCTCCCAGCCCATTCATCCTGACTGGGTGGGCACAGTAGGTTGCCTGCTGTGGGGGGGAAGCGGGGTGGTGGGGGTAGTGTACTGACCCTGATTCCCACTGAAGACTGCACTGCCCATTTTTGATAGGAGTCAAGGTTCATTTGTCAAAATTATTTTATCAGGCTGGAAACTTGGGGGATCACTTTTAGAAGGCCAGGAGCATGAGGGCCAGGCCACCCTAGGTTGTGGTCCTGTGGAGGAAGCCGTGTGGCGCCTCATTATGGCTTTCCTCTCCAACCTACCCGATTTACCGGCCTTCTGTTATTTCCTTCCTAGGGTGGAAGGGCCAGCCCCATTTGGGGCAATAAAAAAAATAGCGATATTCTTCCTTGATACTGTTTCCAGTCTCTACCACTTTAAAGGCTGATCTATGCATCCTTTTTTTGCTTCATAACATTACAAGGGGGAACGGTGGACAAGTAACTTGCCCAAAGTCACCGGGGGGTAAAGATGGGAAGATTCTTATTTCCCGCATACTCCCTGGGACATTACCTCCCCGTCTTGTGGGTGCGATGGTCCAGGGAGGGCCAAATCAGGTGATCCTGTCTGGGGTGGGGCGGGGGGTAGGGTTGGTGAGGAGGTGTGCTTAATCCACGAGATGGGTTAGTTTCCCAGGGAGGGCTCCGCTAACTAGTACCAGAATCTAAATGCGACCAGTTCTGTGAGCCCCTTTTTGACGGAGCCTTCCCCCTTAATCATCACACTCGCTTCTCCCCTGCCCTTTGTAACCAGGACAACGAGGGTGACTCCAAGTGTTTCAGGGACATGAGCACAGACAGAAAATTATGGACGCGTGGAGAACCAGGGTACGGTTCTTGGCACTGAAAGTCTGCAGGCCACACGCTTGTCCAGGCAAGAGGACAGATGGAGACCCAGGCCTGTCCCACACATGCACGCACGTGCACACACACACACACACCCCACCAGGACATCATCATAAAAAAGGAGAAGGGGGGGCTTCAGCAGCAGAGAGACTGGCTCAGACCCTCCTGACTGGTCCCTGCAGCCTCTCCAGGGGGACCCCAGAGCAACTGCCACGTTCCAGTGATGTCATGCACTGGTAATCTGCCCTTGTCGGGAAGAGAGAGAGGGGGAAACAGTTTTGTAAGAGCCACTGTGGATTATAAAGGCATTGCATTGCAGCAGGACAACTCAAGGAGAAAACCCAAGAGGGCCAAGGAAACCACCGAGGGGCGAGGACCCAGAAGAGGAAAAACCACAGCGACAGGACGAGAGGGACAGCGGGGGCCACGCGGGGTCCCGGAGGGAAGGTTCAGCAGTGTCCACGCTTATAAAACCTGCAGCTGCCCCACCGGGGCACATGGGATGGCCCCCCTGCCATCCGTCTGGGCAAGAGGATCCAGTTAGGAGCTGAAAACCCTGTGGGAAGACAGGGGGAAGGGAGTTAGTGCCAGGGAGGCCAAACTGCATTGTTTCCTTACGGAGCCACAGAGAAGCCACCAAGCTCTGGGCACAGGGGCTTCACTGCCCCTTCCTCAGCAGGCTCCCCGCCTAGGACAGCATCTGTCCCCTAGCTGGGGCTCGTCTTGAATGCACGGACGAACTAACGAAGGAATGGATGAGTGCTTGCTCACCGACACAAACGGCCAGGAAGAGGGACAACGAAAGGGGCTTCCCGACACGCCAAAGGAGTTGGAATCTTAAAGGCAATACAGTGAGCCTACTGGACACAAAATATGTTTTGTATGTACAGGGAAAAAATGAGGCTGCTTAAGAAATGGGGTGTCTTTCCTATGCTGCCGAAAATGAGACAACCCAATTCCTACCTAATTTAACATAAAAGGCACAAAGCAGTGGTTTGGAGGTACTCTGTGGCGGGGGCATGGGGTGAGTGGCATTACCGTCGTGGTTGAGAGGTCCTGGCCTTAAGGTGAGGTTTAACTAGTGAGACTCAATCCAGTCTTGTGGTGCCTCACACTTTTCCCAGCAATTTTGAGAGAACCAGTGAGATTGTCAAAATAATACCAATTGGGATCTGCGTGGATGAGAACGCTCTGGGTAATCTGGGGGGTGTGGGAGGTGTTGTATAAAAGGGAGGGAGCTGCGGCGGGGAATACAGCTTCCCGGAGGCTGGAGCCGTTATTCCACTAGGGGGCGCGCCAGGCAGACGTGGACATGCAAAACCAGGGTTCCCACACTTGGAGGGGCCTCAGAATCTCTGGAGGGCTCCTTAAAAACATAAACCTCGGTTCTCACTCCAGAGTTTCAGAGTCAGCAGGTCTGGGGTGGCCTGGGAATTTGCATTTGTAGCCCACTCTCCCCTGTGGGAAAACCAGGGCAAACGAAGCCAGACATCCTCCAGCCATTAGGACTGGGAAAAGAGGGTTCTGCCCACCCCTCGAGCCCCTGGGAAGGAGCCTGCTTACTCATCGGTGTCTTTTTTGCTCTCCTCAATGAAGGCAATGGATTCAGATCTAAGGCGGTTGGTCACTTCATACGTTCGCAGGGTGACCCCGAAAATATCCTCATGGTACCGGTTGTCATCCTGGGGGACAGAAAAAGCCCTCAAATGCCAGCCAAAGGCAGGAGAGGGACAGACAAGCTGACAACCTGGAATGGAATGTCCCTTAAAAAGATGGGTTCTAAACAAACAAGATGTAACCCAGTGCCCCCTGGAGGACCTCTGACCTCCTAGCCCAGGTGGCAAAGAACATTTCAGTTCACATCTGAACTGGCACACCTTGGACAAAACTTTTTATGCAGTGTTCAACCTGGACAACTGCACAGGACAGTGCTGCAGCTTGGTTCTGGGGGCAGGAAGAGTCGGTTTCGGAAGGTTTCTATCCAGCTACCCAGTGATCCACCCGCTTGTTATTTTCACACACCACAGCCCCCACCCATATTTAATACACGCACCTGCACACCCAACACCCAGTCCTCCTCCTTCTCTCTCAACTACGGTTTGGGACCACGGGTATCCTCTACCCTGAACCATAAGTGGGAAAATGGGAGCAGGCGGGGATGTCATCATGGCCCCTCTAATCATTGAGACAGGTGGGGTGAGGAAGAGGAGACAGGAACCAGTTGCTGACAAAGGGATCCAAGAAGCCAGCCTGTCACTCACCCTCAGCCTGCTGATGAACACGCCTGCATCCTCCGCTGAGAGTTTCCCCTGCTGGGTCATGATGCGCTGGATGGCTTTGAGGACATCGGCGGCCATGGTGACGTCCCCACAGACATAGATGTGGCCCCCTTGCTCCTTCAGGGCTCGGTACACTGATTCTGCCAAATGCTCTTGCAGGATGTCCTGCACGTACTTCTGCAGGGGGCAGGAAGACCCGTGAGAAGGAGCTGGGTCCTGGGCAGAGCCTGATACAGGTGACCCAGGGGAGCAGGAGGAGTGAGTAAGAGAAGGAAAGCCGATCCGAGGGTGTGCAAATGAGCTGCTCCCCGTGTTGGAGCTCAGCTGTGCTGAGGACCCTCTAGAAGGTCATGCAGAACACAGCCCAGAGCCATAACCCCGGGGGAGCACAGGGTGGGTCACGATCTACCTGCTCCCTGTCCAATGGCCAGTGGTCCCCCCTGGGGTGTTAACACCTGTACTCTACTAGGTGCGGGGTACATCCTATCCTGGGGTGCCAGAGAAGCCCCAGGGCAGACAGCAAGAGATGGGAGAGGTGAGGGGCTGTCAGCTCACACCTGCACAAAACCAGCTGCTGCAGGAGGAGCTGGAGTAGAAGGTGGGCTAAGAGAAAGTGGGGTGGCTACAGGGGTGTCCACCATAGCCTCCTGGGCATTTGCCTTATTTGTTCGGGATGCCTTCCACTTGTCTAGGAAACTGCCCCGGGGCGAGGCGGACACGAAGCTGCTATGTCCTGGCACGGCTGTCCTGCTTGTAAAAACACTGGTGTACTTCCACCCCAGCTGTCAGACGGCCACTGCCCACCCTCCGAGTGCCCACCCCACCCCAGCTGTCCCGGCCCCTTTCCTGAGACCCCCTGGATCTCCCCAACATCCAGGAGGAGCACGCTCCAGTCCTGTGGCCTGTGTCCATTCTGACTGGTAGCACCTCTTATGGACTGTTAGGTGTTTTTTTTTTTTTAATTCATATTTTTAAAATATTTTTATTTTGGTAAAATATGCAAAACATATCATTTAACCATTTTAAAGTGAACAATTCAGTGGCATCTCGTGCACCACTGTCTTGTGCAACCATCACCCTATCTGGTTCTAGAACTTATTCATCACCCCAAAAGGAAATTATGTACCCACGAGCAGGGACTCCCCATTCCCCTGCCCCCAGAGCCCCTGGTAACCCCAGATCTGCTCTCTGTCTCTACGGATTCGGCTGTTCTGGATATTTCACATAAGTGGCATCCTACAATATGGGCTGTTAAATATTTTAAACTGATATTTTTTTGCTCCTGCTTCCTGAAATACAGAGCAATGTCCTGGAGGAGAATTCAGAACAGGTGAGGAGGTGACTGGGGGTGGGATGCGCATGTGTGTACAAGCGCGCGCGTGTGTGTGTGTGTATCTAGGGCTGGGGTGTAGGGACTGTGCATGGGCCGGGGGTTACCTTTGGTTTGTCTGGCTCCCGGGAGTAGGCCGTGTACAGTTCTCTGAAGACCCCCTTGTTCTTGGCTTGTAGAGTCTCCTCCCTGTAGATGTGGTCTATCTTGGATTGCCGGCACCCGAACACCAGGACCATGGGGCAGGGGCTCATTCCTGGGGACCAGGAAGATCTCACGTCACTCACGGCTCTGATGCCCAATTTGGGGGGGGTGGCTGGTGGTGCCAGGGGAGGGGGTACTGGGAACCTTCGTGCATGCCACATGGATAGAAGCACATGAACACTGGGACAGGTGGGGTGTATGTACTTGCTCACAAGTACACCCATGTATCCAGACGCACGCACCTGCGCACACCGAGGGAAGTAGGTGAAGTGTGTTCCGATTTTAGCGCACCTCCTTTCTCTAGGTCTCAATCCTTCCTTCTGCCCCCCTGGCTACTTAGCATCCCCTGCTACTGGGTTGTGCCAAAAGCCCAGTCTGTGGAGCTGCACTACCCGGGTTCAAATCCCAGCTCTGTGCGATGATGAGCAACTTAACTTTCTATGTGCCCATTTCTGCAGGTACAAAATGGAAGTAATAATAGCATCTACCTCCTACGGTTACTCTGAGATGTAAAACATTTGAGCTCAGTGAATATACAGTGAATCCTTTATCAATGTTAGCTATTCCACCAGAATGACCGGTCCATGGGGGCGGCTTTTTTTTTTTTTTTTTAAGCTGTTTCTCTGTCTTGTTCAGTGCTGTCCCTTGGCACCTAAAACAGTGCTTGGCATTTATTAGATGCTCAACAAATCCCTGGTTAATGCATGCCACAACTGTGGGTTTCTTTCTCTCTCCTCCTGGAGCTGATCTGTTGGGTCTCTCACACAGCAAAGCCTGCTCTTGAATAACAGCCTTTGGGACCATCCCCCAAATGTACAGACACTTGACAAGGCTTAATATTTACTCTCCTAGGGCTGCTTCAAGTTTCAGATGGGTCCTAGCGTAACACAGAAATGTCTTCTGGGGATGGAATTTCACGCCCTAGAACAAGCTGTGTGGGAGATTGGTCGGGACAGGTCCTTTGAAGTATAACCATGAACCTCACCTATGGGTCAGGTCAGTACCATGACCCCCTCCCCCTCCCCCAGGGAGTAATGCAGTAGAGAGAGAACTCTGTCATTCCTCTGGGTGGCTGAGCCACAGGTGGGTCTGCCCAGGTCCAGGCGGGGTGAACATTACCTGGCTGCTGAATTGTGACCCACCTTTGTGTTGGATATCAAATTGCCGCTGCTGCCAGAAACTTCGGAAAGGGGCAATGCCGGTGCCTGGGCCAATGAGGATGCAGGGCACTTGGGGGTTTCGGGGCAGGTGGAAGCTGGGTGCTCTGGACAAGAGAGAGAGAATCAGAAGGCTTGCTGCATTCAAATCTGATCAAGGGTGGCTGGGCCTTGGGTAGACCAGATGGCCGTCTTGGTGATACAGTGGGATTGCACTCTCCAGCTGGGGTCGGGTGCCCCTTATCAGAGTGGGAGGTCCCACAGCTTTGGGGAGTTCCCCAAACAGGAGCTCCTCAGGGTCTGGCTACCACTCCAATTCCCAATTTTCCTCATTGCTGAACTAAGCCACCATGGGCATCGTTTTAACTCAGGCTTTCCGGACCTCAGCACTGCTGACAGTTGGGGCTACATACTTCTCTGCCATGGGGGGTGTCCTGTGCATTGTAGGATATTGAGTGGCACCCCTCGTCTCTACCTCCTAGGTGCCAGGAATACCCTCCAGCTGTGACAAAAATCTCCACAGCCTTTGCCACAGGTGGCCTGAGGGGGAAAATCAGCCTCTGCTGAGAACCACGGTTCCGTGTAGGCACCAGCGAGATCTCCTAAAATCAGGGAGCAGACTTCCGTGTACAGAAGAATCACCCAGTGGCATTAACAGCAGAGCCTTGGGCAGTGCAGCAAGTCTGGGCTCAGGATACGGTATTTTTGAAGCACCACTGGGATTCTGATGGTCATGGTATATGGACCATCCTATGAACACTCCACTCGCAAGAGCTGAGAAAAATCACTGGTCAAGACCACTGTTCAGGTACAGAAGTCACTGGCTGACAAAGCAGGAACCTTACCAGCTCAGGTATGGCCCTCATTGTGAAAAATGTTTAAGTTGTAGTTTTTATCTGATGGTGGTAAGAACACTTCAATGAAATCTACCCTCTTCACAAAATTTTTAAGTGCACGATACAGTACTGTTAATTGTAGGCAGGAACGTCCTTTAAAACTGAGTTTGGGGGGGTGCCTGGGTGGCTCAGTTGGTTAAATGTCTGCCTTTGGCTCAGGTTGTGATCTTGGGGTCCTGGGATCGAGTCCCGCATCGGGCTCCCTGCTCAGCTGGGGAGTCTGCTTCTCCCTCTTCCCTCTGCCACCCCCCGCTTGTGTTCTCTCTGTGTCTCCAATAAATAAAATCTTTTAAATTTATTTGAGACAGAGAGAGAGAGAGAGGGAGCACAAGAAGGCACAGCAGCAGGCACAGGGAGAGGGAGAAGCAGGTTTCCAGGCAGGGAGCCTGATGTGGGGCTTGATCCCAGGACCTCCGGATCATGTCCTGAGCCGAAGGCAGATGCTTAGCCAACTGAGCCACCCAGGCGTCCCAATAAATAAAAATCTTAAAAAAAACCCACACAGCTGAGTTCGAGAGAAACAGCTCTGACTGATGGGAGGAAGGTTTGGATCTTCCCCATCTCCGAAATAGTGGGAACAGATAGGGTGGTTGGTAGATAGTGGAGAGAATTTCCGCCAGACTTTCCGCCAGTCTGCAGATTTCAGGAAAGCTGAGACTGCATTTGCTGGGTTGTCTACTGTAACCCCAGCATCTAGCACAGTACATGCACTTGATAAATATTCATTGCATTGACCTGACTTTGACTGGGGGGGTGGGGCTTGCTTAGCTGCTGCTGTGTTGCCCGTCCCAAGATCCCATTTCCTTAACAGCTTGGAGTGATACTGAGTGTTGATCTCGATTCCGTCTGACTCAGCCATTTCTCCAGAACCCTTGAGGCTGGTCCACCCAGACCAGCTCAGGACATGAGTATGCAGATTTGGGACAACTGCTCATTTCTCTTCATTTGCCACTCACCCTCTCACGAAACACGGGACCACTTCGTCAGCCTGTATCTGGTTGAGCCAGGAGGAGCACACACCGTGGTGAATTGGTCCTTCTCCATCTGGCAGAATAAGCAAGGTGGTCTGGTGCGCCTACTGCCCCCAGGGTTCCCCGTCCCTGGCCTCCCCCTCCCTCCAGTGAAGCTCACGACCCCACGCCAAGTTTCTGCCTTGGAATTCCCTGTCTGGATCCTCTGAAGGGGAAGAGGGTATGGTATAATGAAACTGCCCAGGGTTCCCGTGGGTAAGGGTGGGTCTAACTCGGAAAGGTCTCAGTCAGTGTGCTCCCGGTGGCCTTCCAGGATCCCGGTCTTGGAGCTCTCTCAGGCACCATGCATTTTAATTGCTTTATCAAGGAGGGAAATTACGGGAGACAAACGCTAGGATATCTGACTGACCTACAACTAGGGGACTTCATGCAGCAGAGAGCTCCCCCCTCCGAGGGATGGGTGAGGGTGGCTTGATCCAGTTGCTGCCTTGGTTGGGGAGGGATGAGAGGATGAAGGCAGTAAAAGCGCTCTCAGGCTTTGGGAGCAGAGGAAGCTTTCAAGTGCACATCTTCCCTCCTTCCTGACTCTGCCTAAGGGGACAGTCTGCCTGCCCTGCTTCTTCCCCCAGTTCCTGGCCTCGGGGTGGGTCTCCTCTTGGGGATTTGGGATTTGGCAGCCATGCAGAGGCCCCTGGGGAACCAATGCAGACCCAGGGGGCTCTCCTGGGGCCTTTGCCTACCTCGGGTGCGGTAGGACACAACGGCCACGGTGAGGTGCACCTCGTCGGGGTACATGTCTGGGGAGGAGCTGATGGAGTAGTAACGGGGCTGCAGCAGGGACAGCTGGGTCAGGAGCAGGGTAGAGGGCATCTGGATGGATGGGAACTCCTCCAGCACCTCCACGATGGTGGGGTTCTTGCCCCACTTCCATTCTTCGTACTCCTGCAAACCCTGTGCCAAGGAGAGGGATGCAGAACTTGCACCCTGCTCCGGGTACACATTTCCAGGGAGGGCATCAGAACATCTGGGGATGGGCGCCTGGGTGGCTCAGTTGGTTAAGCGACTGCCTTCGGCTCAGGTCATGATCCTGGAGTCCCGGAATCGAGTCCCATATCGGGCTCCTTGCTCAGCAGGGAGTCTGCTTCTCCCTCTGACCCTCCTCCCTCTCCTGCTCTCTGTCTCTCATTCTCTCTCTCTCAAATAAATAAATAAA